TGAGTGCTGGTCTTGCCTTAGGTACAAAACCAGTGACTTTGGACCTGTCTCTCCCTCTCAGTCCTAGGTAGAAGGCAATAAATCATTTTCAAAAAATTCAGGTAGTTCAGGAGTCAACAATAATCAACATTGACCTGAAGGGTCACAAAAAAGGAGAAGGAGGAAGAAATTATTACTATTTCTTCAATCAGTAAAGCCACCCTTCTCAATCCAATTGACTCAACACAGCAATTGATTATTTATTATTTACAAAAATAGTTACAAATATCTTGTAACATATTGCTAATTATCTAAGGGATAGTTATTGACTTGCCAATGGATATGCTTCAAAAGAGTTTGGTTTAGAATAGAATGTCATATTTAAAACTATGTTTATTTAGCATTTTTCTTGTCCCAATAATATTAATTTATATTTACAAATTATTAAAATAATTTTAAAATTGTTACTGAAGCAAGACCTTTCTTGTTACTTATTTATACTTGATTTATCCATTATATACCTTATGTTTCTACTTCAAATACACTTGAGGTAACATGAAAAATGGGATCCACAAAGTAAGAGTGATATTCTTATACCTGTTCTGGAATTTGATTAAGACAAGCAAGTAATCCTTTTATGATCTTTTAGAAAACTATAAATATACACTTACACACGTGAACACACCCATACATACTGTAGATACAAACATACAAAGAATGAGAAAATGGAACTATTCATGGATATATTGTATGAATTATGGCTTTGTTTTAATTATGAATATATATTACATTAAATAAACCTTCCTTAGATGTATTTATCTTGTTTTTTTTACTGCAGCTAGCCATTTATTTCCATATGTGAAAAAAAGAATACAAGTTATAAACCAGACCAGTATAGAACTGAACCCCATAGAAGTAGCTATTGATGAGATGTCCAAAAAAATTTCAGAACTCAAACAACTTTGCACAATGGATGAGGTAGATATGATTCGACTCCAGCTGAAACTACAAGGAAGCGTCAGTGTCAAGGTAAGTGTGTTTCAGCCCTTTTCTCGGGTTTAAAAGATTTGACATTTAGGATTTTATAATAGGAAACAGAATCTTTATCTTCTTCTGTTGTTACAACCTCACCTGCTGGAAATTCAAAAGAAGCATTATAATATTACCTAATTCATTAAGTAAATTAATTAATGTTACAAGCTTATTCTTTTGAATCTGAGATTTAACTCCCATTTCTTAATATCCTTGCTAGGTTTGTCAAAGGGTAGAATGGGAGTGTGGTACTGATTAAAGCTTCATTATCCCTCTCCCAGAAAGATTGATGCTTCTGCCTTAGGATTCAGTTACCTCCACTGCATCTCCTTCCACAAAGAATAAGTTTTTAATGCCTGCTACAGGTTGTATATCATCATGAGAGATTCAACATCAAAAAACAGCTTCCTTTTCAGGAGTCTGAAAGCAGTGGAGCAGTGGGAAATGTATCTTAGAGGAAAAATGAAGACCAATGCTGATAACATTGTGTGAGACTCAGAAAAACAGAACCAAAAGCTATGTTAATGATTAGGGTTTTTAAGAGTTATCTAGCTTCATTTCAAATTAACTTTTATTTTGATAGCTGCAATTTAGTATACTACACTGTTTTCATATTTAATTTTATCTATTGTGCTTTTAGTGTGATAATATTTTTATTCGATGCAGTGAACTTAAGATAGCTACCCTTTAATTACTTCCCAGAGTTTGAGAGCCATATTTTTTGTTTTTACTGTATGTTGGGGTTTTGGCTCCAGTTTAGGAAATTTATTAAAGTTGTTTTAAAGAATGAAATGGGTGCCTTAATATTGGGCCCAATCATTTTGATCACCCAATCTTGGGAAGATTCTGGTAATCACTAAAGGTGTGCTAGCAATCCTTCTATTTTGCACACGTGTTTCCTTTCCATAATGTATCTGCAATTTAGAAAACTCTTCAGCAACAGGTGTACAAAATCAGGACTTCAGGTATTGACAGAAGAATTGTTTTAAGCTGCCTTTGCCAGTCCTGATCTCGGCCCTCAGTATAACATAGCACACTTTGACTTGCAGGTAAATGCAGGACCAATGGCTTATGCTCGAGCATTTCTTGAAGAAACCAATGCTAAGAAATACCCAGATAACCAAGTTAAACTTCTGAAAGAAATATTCAGGTAAGTTTTACAATATGTTAGATAGAAGAGAGAGAGAGAGAGAGAGAGAGAGAGAGAATATATATGGAGATAGAGAGAGAGATAAACAAATACAAGGGTAATATATTTCTGTGTCCATTATGAATACACCATTTTAATCCATAATAAAATCAAAATGCTATATTATATTTGAAACAATAACACATTGCCTTGACATTAAAGATATGAGATTTTTTGTGCTATGTAGACAATTTGCAGAAGCATGTGGACAAGCTCTTGAAGTTAATGAACGCCTTATTAAGGAGGATCAGCTGGAATATCAGGAAGAAATGAAATCTCATTACAAGAACATGCTCAGTGAGCTGTCAGAGGTTATGAATGAACAGGTTAGCCATTCTCTTTCAACACCTTGTTTTCAGCTCCAAAGACATTGAGGTTGTCACATAAACAATGCCTAATCCTAATTGGGGAGCCACCTTGGGAAATTAAAAGTCCCACAAGGTTCCTAATTTCCAAACTTCTTTTCTTGGTCTAAAGTATATTCTCATTTCAAATACTCCTATCTCTTTTACCTTCCTTTATCTGCAAATCCCTCCTATTCTGATTTCTATCATTTAAGAGTAACACTAATCAGAAGAAAAAAAATCTATCATGCTGATTAATTCTTATAATCAATAGAGGTTGACCCTTCCTTCTTTCCGTCCTTCCTTCCTCCCTCCCTCCCTCTCTTCCTCCTTCTCTCCCTCCCTCCCTTCTTAAAGCAAATTCTGACAAATATTTACCCACTTGGTATTTTTAAGTTGATATTATTCAGAAAAGCATACAGTGATTATTTTTAGGCCAATCATACCATGAATGGCTTAACAATATAAGGATATACTGGGATTTGATATGCTATTGAATACATTTTGATCTTTGTCCATACAGTATGTGAAAAGTAGAAGCAGGTTACATTGGAATCTATGAACACAGGATAACATTAAATTGGATGCTGGTCTGTTATTATATCTAGAAGTAAGAGAAAGTCATAGGGTACAAAAACCCAGAATACTCACGGATAAACTTCCATTTTCTTCTGTCAAAGGCTATATATGACACCATATACCCACACAAGGAGAGGTAATAAATTCAGACAAAGGGGAAATACAATCTCAAGAGCAAAATGGAGGAGGTTTCCTTGATTCTTTACACTTTGAGCAGACACCACAATTATTCTATCCTGGCATATCAAAAGGGCATTAGGCTTTTCTCCTTCCCAATTATATATGCCAAACACTGATGGGTTATAGGATGAACCTAAGCCTGTGAAAACAATTGAAAACTCACTATGAGGAGATCCTGTTATACATTCAAAATATTTAAAAAAAACTGCTTAGGCAGAAAATCCCATATTGGGAACAGGACTAGATGAAGAAAATTTTCAGGTTTATATCTTAATTCCTAAATAAATAAATTAGGATTTTATTGTTTCCTTATCAATCCTATGTTTTGTTGTTGTTGCTTTGGGTTACACTAAGATATGTTTCACACCTCTCCATCTATATAAACAATAAAAAACAATGTTACTGTTTCATTTATCACTATTTGTCAATGCTCTCAAGAAGTATCTTAGGAGAACTGATGGATTTTCTGTGACTTCTGAGAAGTTAATGTCTCCCACCCCATTCAGTTCAGAGAGAACACTACAAGAGTTCTGTGATTACTTCCCTCCATAGTTAGTCACCTCCAGCACCTTGCAAGTTTCCTGTTGTGTTTTTTCCACATCAACACATATTGTATACACTGTGTCCTTAATGGTATTTTACATAAAGGCATTGAAATCCTATGTGTTATTCATTATTATTGTGTTTCTATGTCCACTGACTGTGGCATTTCCATCAACATCTTTCTTTCTCTTTTTCTGGCAGCTCTGTCATGTTCAGTGCTTATACAACTTTTCTGCTTCACTGTCTAACATTTCCCTCAATACTATAGCCAAAAGTGGTATGTTTGGTTTTCTTTTTGCTCTCTGTACCTTTACTGTCATGAATTCTCACCGACTGCTTTTTTAACATTTAATAAGGATGCATTTCACTGGTGATGCTTAGCAAAAAAAAAAGGGGGGGGTCATTAGCCATTCTTTTGGGAAGCATGAAATATAATACAGGGTCAGGGAGAACTGTTAATAATATGCCAGGCTTTCTTGTCTAGCACTTCATGGATTAATAGCGACAGTCCATTTCTGATGATCCTTTTTAATAGACACTTAAGTTTCATAATACTCCTACTTAGGCATGAAGTTTCTTCTTCAGCACTTACAGTGGGGTTGCATGCCTGAAGTAGACTTTTCCCTGGGGCCTTCTCAGCAGATGTGCATGATGTACTGTATGTCTCTGCAGTACTGATGTAGGAGTAAATGTTTAAATACATTCATGTTTATGTTTAGACATTAGAAAGAGATGCTTGATCCATGTGGGGTGTAGGTGTCAACTATTTATTATGGCCACATCTGGCTTCCATTTGCAGCTAAGTGTTAAATGCCCCAAGTAAATAGGTGATACACTGTTTATTTATGATGTTCAGAGCCAGCAGAGCTAAATTCATATGTGTATTTACTTTATAAAAGTGTCAAAATATACTTTCACAGATATGTTACACAATTGGAGGCTAAAGAAGAAAGTGGTTTTTTTTTAAAGTTGGAATGCTGTTGGAGGAAGAGATCAAAATACAAAACAAAATATTTCTTTCATATGGCAGCTGTTAAAAACCTTAACAGGATAGATAAAAACAGCTGATCAAGTTGTTCCTAAAAGTATAATTTAGAGCATGGATGTCAAACTTGGCACATCACATTGCCATCAGTTTGACACCCCTGGTTTAGAATGAGCTTAATTTTTCCACATGTTTACTTATTTACTCAGGTTTACTTATTTCTTTGTGTATGCATCTGTTTTAAAGATCACTTACAAGGAGGATTCTGCAAAGCATCCAGGAGTGGAAACACATTATTCCCATGCAATCAGTAGAACAATCACTGCCCCACCTGGATCACTGCTTTCATCAAATGCAGATATTTCATAATTGCCTTTGATTATGAACTGGAAAACTTTGGCGTTATTTTGCAAAACAATGTAGGCAAATTCTGGAGGATACCATAACAGTGTTACATTATTATTTTTTATTTATTGAACAATTTTATGTGTCAATTTAAGAAAAACAGTCAATTTGATTTTTTTAAATGTTATTGTCTTTCTTGATATTTGCACATTTCCTATAATTTTCTTTATTATGGCCAGTCTTTAGTAAATAGACTGAAATGAAATATTCATTGAACAGTTAGTTTCACAGCAAACCTTATGTTTGCTATAAATAATAATATAATCTAATACAGGTCCTAGTATACATATATTTTAAAAGTCAAAAGTGGGTGTTTTATAACATTTAAGTATATTAAAATTGTAAATAAAAGATGTGTAAAATACGTCATTTTTACAAAAAAAATAGTTAATATTTGACATGACTAAAATGTGGATAACATTTCAAATACGGCTATATTAAAATATTTGTTTATGTGTATAAAATTGTGTGTGTGTTATTGGCTAAATCATTTCGGCTTGCAGTGGGATATAATTTGAATCACTACTTTTGCTACTTCAAGATGTTCTCACATAGCTGGTGATGTGTTTGAAATCATGTTTTTTTCCAAGGAGCTGTACATTTTCTACCAACTTAAATAGAAATGGAAGATTTTAATGGTTGCAATTTCATTGACTCAAACATGTCATTTCTGAAGTAAAAGGTTGACATACAGAGTATCAAATCACTCTTTTCTGACAGCATAGAATCTAACTCTCATTTTCGTTCTGTTGTGTCCTTATTTTTTAACTACTTCAGAATTTCTCCAGAAAAGATACTATGGCATCATATATACAGTATTTAAATACAGCATATAATATAGTACACACTTTCATTTCTTACCACTCTTTATGGTATGGGTGTCAAACTCACTGGGTCATGTTGCCATCAAGTGATGTTTCGGACATTTTTCCCCTTCATAGAGTTGGGGTGGCCATGGACTACACATGACACATCCAGCCCATCAGTTTGACACCCTTGCTTTATGGATATCCATGTTAAATCCTTTGTGATAACTGATAATAGTATAGATATAGACCAGCCCCACTCCAGTTTACTTTCCCATTTGTATTGTAATATCATGAACTTGCTTGGTGCTGTTATAGAGCAGTATTTTATCTTTTATAAAACAATGTTCCATCTTTTACAGAACAATATACATGGTTAAGTGCTTAATTGACAGGAAAATCAGCTTGCATGTCACATTATCTTGAGCTATATGACCAGATAAAAGATGGATGGATCTAGTTTTTATGCTGGTGAGGAAAAGTTCTGTTTATTCATAAATAAATGGGGAAGAAGGGGAGAGAAACACTGCTTCTAAAAAGAAATGCCTTGCAAAATAACTTTTAAAAAGACCTAGTAGTATTGTAATTATAGCATCTCTACTATTGAGGAAAATGTTAAAAAAAACACCTATGTGTCTGGTTTAATTTGTTATATTGGTAAGCTAATAATACTCTATTGTTTCACAGTATTTTTCTTGACAACTTTTTGCATCATGAGTTTAATTCTAAAAGCATTATTTACACATTAGGAATAAAATCCTTTTCATCATTATTACTGTTTTCATTGAAGCCATAGAGTATTTTTCTAGTTTACAATAAAAAATGTGATATAACTGATTAATCTTAAGTAGAAAAATAATCTTTGTTGATGGTACCAATTTCAGATTTTTGAAGTTTATTTTTTACCAGTATAAGTGGGAGTTTTTTCCCCTCTAATATTGGTAGCATGTCAAGAAAGATATGGGTTCTTGACTGGAATCAAATTTTTCCTAATCCCTTTCCAGTACAGACTAAGAATGAACATGTAATTCCATTGAATTTAAGAGGATTTGTTTCTGAATAAGTATGAAAAGTAAATACATATCAGCAAATAAAAAAACATAGCTAACGAATATTGATTTCAAAAACTCATGTGACATGCCATATTTGAAGTCTTAGCTATAACCCAGAAGTGGACCTTTCTTCACATATTGAATTTCCTTATCTCTGCCAGGTAATTCTCCATACGTCAGGCTGCTAATTTGCAACTTACATGTGTTAAGGTATAATTCAGTCTATTAAACTATAGTAGAGTCAATCTCATTTTGAAGTTCTACTGGAATTGATAGTTCAATTGTATGATAGAGCAACCTTGGGAGACCCAAGAAAGGGCTGCAACCAGGGCAATGATCAGATGAGATATCTCAGCCCACAAAAGAAATGGGGTTGAATAAAGTATCTTAGAAGAGATACTACTACCCTAGTTCTCTGGAAAGTAAAAGCAAAGGAAGGGACAACTGCTTTCAGATATGCAAGATATGTTACTGTAACTGTACAATAAAGTGGTGCTAGTTCTTATGACTTGATTTCCTATCTCGACTGATGAGCTGACAGCAACCTGACATTCCTAACATGTTCTGAAAGCAATTCTCAAATGAGTAACAAATCCAAAGCTTCTAGAGATCCAAGACCTTGGAATATGTGATAAGTAACTTCAGTTATAAAACTAACTTGGGCAATACCACTTAAACTGTGCTCTTTCATTTTTCACTCTATCTCAGACAATAAAAATTAATGATAATCAATGTATAAAAGCTGTTTGTTGCAATCATGATACTTTTTCCATTAAGTTCACATTTCCGTTCATACATGGGATCTAGTCATATCTATAACGATGTTGTTCTGATGAGAAATTCTGTCACACTCTAACTTGATTAATGATGAATAAGCCATTGTTTTGTTCAAATACATTTCTATCAATCAAGAAACTGGTGTCAGGAAATACTTATACTTATAAATCTACTGAATAGATTGTGAGTACCTGTATAGCATTAAACATCAGGCACAAGCAATCAGATCCACATGAGTAAAGGTAAACCTAACTGTTTTATTATATTATGCCTATAATACAGGAATTTCTCCAGACTTCTTGCCTTCCCATGGGAACAGATAAATAAACTTTCATGAAGTTGAAGGAGGGGGAGTGAGATCAGTCCTGGGTCTCTTGCAGCTGCAAAATGATTCAAAGCTAATTCCACACTGAGTCCTCCTCTCTGCCTGCCTGAACATTCCCCAACATTAAAGGACCTGCTTTGAAGTGTAGATTTTTATTGGGAGAACAAGACCTCTAGTAGATGTATGTGGGGATATACAGTCTTTCAGGGGAGAGGGCTTGGTAAACTGTTTATTACATTTGCTCTACTTTAATTGAAAATTAAATTAAATTTAAATAAAATTTGATTAATATGGTTACAAGGGTGATAAAATCATTCAAATGAGATGTTTCATAACACATGGGAGTTTAAAATAAACACCTCTCCATGAATCATTAAAACTAATGCAGTTCTTTGCTTCCAATATTTTTTGTATCTTTCAAAAGGAAACTGAAAGCCATGCAGTAATTATAGGAAATAAAACTGGATTTGTAAACATCAAGTCTTAAGTTTTCAAAAATGTGCAATTAGCAAGCTACGTTCTCAGAGTTTACTAATTGCTCTTTTTAAAAAGTAGACCCAACATATTTTATATCAACCTTTCATGATGTAAGCCTAAGCCATGTCAGGAAACAGATAACGTAGAACAATCAGAACTCTATTGCTGAATTTTGAAAGCTTCACCACCAGAGGTGGTATTCAGGAGGTTCTGACCAGTTCTGGAGAACCAGTAGCAGAAATTTTGAGTAGTTCGGAAAACTGGCAAATACCATTTCTGACTGGAGATTTTACAGTATCCTTCCCGTGCCACGCCCACCAAGCCACACCCACAGAACTGGTAGCAAAACTTTTGAATCCCACCACTGTTAATCACCAGGTCTTACTCCCTTCCTCCCTCCTTTCCTCCCTCTTTTACCAAAGAAGTCAATTCAAGAAGGTTTCTTCCTTAGATTGTCCTGACTTTTCAGACTAAACTGGTTTTTAAAAAATATCTGTTGCCTACTTACTTCAAGGTTATCTCCATACACCTCTACAATTTGATTTTAGCAAAGTATTTGTCAAGGTAATGCATGGAATTCTGATCAATAGTTAAATATAGGTTACATGGCATAATAGTTAAAGTGATATGTAGATTTAAACTCATTTTCAAAGAGTGCTTATTAAAGATTCCACAACAAATTGATATAATGTTAATTAATCACTTGGATAAGAGATGAAGGGAATAATTCCAAATTTGCAGATGATACAAAATGCTAATATTCTCCCACACACCCCATAACAAAAATCCTGCTATGATAGGTCCTGCAGATCATATAGTTCTTAAGATGCTACAGAGAAAGAGCTGAGGATCTTTCAGAATAGTGTTTATGTAATGGCTAAATTAAAACTTTCAAGATACCTACTTGCTGATGCTGTGAAGAAGGAAAAAAATCCAAAGTTCTAGTAAGAACTTGGAATATAAACTCAACATATTGAAAAATGAATTGACTACACATTGAGGGAAGTATGCAGTGGGGTAAGTGGGGTTAGACTCTGTCTTAGGTCCAGTACTCTTCAATATCTTCATCAATGATTTAGATTAGGAACAGAACAGGAACTCATCAAATTTGCAGATGATACCAAGCAGGTAGGAATTGCCAATACTTCAGAAGGTAGTCTCAAGATACAGAAGAATCTTAACAGACTTGAACACTGTGTCCTATCGATATAACAAAATCAAATTCAGTGGTGAGAAATGTTTTACATTTAGGCAAGAAAAATCAAACGCATAGGGATAGAATAGGTAGTGCGTGGCTCAATAGTAGAAACTGTGACAGGGATATTGGAGTCCTAGTGGACAATCACTTAAATATGAGCTGCAGTTTGCTGCAGCAGCCCCAAAAGCCAGCACACTCCTAGGATGCATTAACAGAGGTATAGAATCAAGATTACAATGCCTTGGTAAGATCACATTTGGAATATTGCACCCACTTTTGGTTACCACGATATAAAAAGATGTTGAGATTCTATAAAAGGTGCAGAGAAAAGCAAAAAGATGATTGAGGGACTAAAGGCTAAAACATGAAAAACAGTTGCAGGAACTGGATGTGTCTAGTTTAATGAAGAGAATGACTAGGGGTGAGATGCTAGCAATATTCT